ACTGATCTGCCTTGCTGGGGAAGAGCGCAATGATGGTGCCAAGTTGGGCCAGTGAAGCAACGTCCTCCACAACTAGACTGAAGAACAAAAGGACAGCAACATGTCTGTTCCCCTTCCCCCAATTCCCCAGCGCTGTTCCCCTCCCCCAATTCCCCAATAAAAATCTTTAAAAAATAAATAAATAAAACATATCTGAAACAATAAGTCGATGCAAAAATTCCAATCCATGTACACAGAATATTTTTAGAAATATAAGCCACAAGGTAATGATAATAAAAAAGTGATCATAAGAATAGCTAACATTATTAACATTATAATATGTAATCTGTGCCAGACACTCTTCTAAGACCCTGACATGTATTATCTCATTTAATTCTTACTATAACTTTATGAGGTAAGTACTATTATTATCATCTGTATTTTACAGGTGAGAAATTGAAGCACAGAGAAACTAAGTAACTTGCTCAAGGTCACACAGCCAGTAAATGATAATGACCTACCTTAAAACTACTAGTTTAAATAGGATTAAATTAAAAAGTGCACCCATGAAGTGTACAAGACATCATACTAGCTGCTTAAAGGGGAATATGCAAAGACCTTTCCTTTAAGGAATTTAAAACCTAGACATATATCATGAATTTTTAAACACCAACACAAGAGTTAAATAAAAATTCCAGGAACTCTTTTCAAAAGCCTACAGCTGTACCAAAGAATGGTTTAACTTCCCTAAACTTTCTGCTTAACAACTTTACATTTTTCAGCAGTACACCATATTAATGAACATACATAATATTTAATTCCAATAGTGCTAAAATTTTCCACTGCAGTTAACTATTTCTACAGGAAGTCATGCTTATATAACAGCCAAAAAATATGCACATGAGGTTGAAGCACAAAACTAAGAACAATATCCTGGATTAACTGAGTGCATTTCAGATTATTATACTGAACCCACTTTTCAACTCCACCTTAGCCAAATTATTTGTTCCTACCGTTATGCATCTCCAAAAGGCTTCCCCTAAACCCGAGGATGTCAGGTTCATCCTGGCAGCTAAATGCAAAGGGCCCTTTCACCTTGCCCATTTGCTTGAGAGTCTCTGCTTGTATCTAATTAATGGGCATGACCAGGTACCTCAGAGGTAATTCAGTTAGTGGGATCCATTTTATTTTCAACTAAATCGATAAAACTTACTGATGGTTTTGTAACCACTGAAAAAAACTTACTGAAAAAATTTATTTGACTCTTTATACCTGAATATATTGACTGAATAACTAATCTTTTCATTTTTCCACCAATTATTTTAGCATCTTTTAAGTGCAGTCAGAAGATAAATGCTACCCAATTTCCCTGTTTTTCATTTTTCTTGGCCTCTCTGGCAGGATGTAGATGCACATATCAGTTTGTACACAATGGAGCTGTTTGGAAATGCTTAATTTGTATAATGGTACAGGCATACGTTTCTTTTTTTTCTTTTCTTTAAATTTTTTATTGGGGAATTGGGGGAATGGGAACAGTGCTGGGGAATTGGGGGAAGGGGAACAGACAAGTTGCTGTCGTTTTTGTTCTTCAGTCTAGTTG